TCCACGTTGGATAAATTCAATTTCTTCTTGAGACACAAGTTTCCTTCTATATTTCTGAGACAATGTTTTTATTATTTCTGCAGTGTCTGGTGGACCCTGATACATCAGCAAATCTGATGATTTACTTCTCTTAGAATGCTGGGAAATTGCAGAAGAGTGAGACGGTAGCCCTGCTGATCTCAAAGCTTCTGATACATTGGGTTTAGGATTGTCTCTTCTGTCAGGAAGTCTTATTAATGGAGTGTGTGGCTTCACTACCTGGACGATCCTGCTGGCAGACACCATCTTGCTGCCCATCATGACCCCCCTGTTTTTTATCCTTTTTCATGCTATTATAAATGAAATTATTTTCTTCATTTTATGTTTGCAATGTTAATTTCTAGACTATAGAAATGCAATTGATTTTTGTATGTTGATCTTGGAAACTTATTTATTAATTTTAATAGTTTTTAATGAATTCCTTTGGATTTCCTATGTATAATGAATATGTCACCTGCAAAGAGAAATAGTTTTAGTTCTTCCTTTCCTCTCTGATTCCTTTTATTTCTTTTTCTTGCCTAATTTCTTTGGATAGAACCTGCAGCACACTATTGAATAAAAATATTAAGAGCACATATCCTTGCTTTTTCCTATCTTAGGAGAAAGTTTTTCATTTTTCATCATAAAGTATGATGTTAGCTGTGTTTTATTGTTTGTTGTTGTTTTGTATATGCCTTGTATCAGGTTGAGGAAGACTCCTATTCCAGGTTTCTTTAGTATTTTAATTGTGAAATTGTGTTAAATTGTGTCAAATGCTTTTCTGCATCTCCTGGGATGATTAAGTGTTATTGTTCTTTATTCTATTGTTATGTTGTATTGTATCAATTGATTTTTGTACATTGAACCAATTATGTATTCCTAGAAAAAAATCTCACTTGGTCATGATAGATAATTCTTTTTATTTTTTGTTGAATTTGGTTTATTAGTATTTTTAAAGGATTTTTATGTTTATATTCATAAGGA